CCCTCCTCTTGTAATAAAGAAGGCCTGGAATACCTGTTCAAGAAAATCGAAGAGGAAAGTGAGAAGTATGGCCTCTTTCTAAACATCAAAAAGACCAAATTCATAACCACTGAGAAGAAGAGAAATGTCAAAATAACAGCTGACAATGAAGATATCGAATGTGTGGAAGAATTCACTTTCTTAGGATTACAGATCAACCAAAAAGGTGAATGCAGTCCAGGAATAAAATGTCAAATCACGCTGGGTCACACAGCAATGATGAGCGTGAACGAATATGGAAGAGGAAGGACATTAGCCTAGCAACCAAATGCAGATTAGTCTGTGCTATTGTGTTCCCCATTGTAACCTATGGCTGTAAAAGTTGGACCATGAAGAAGCAGGACAGGAGGAAAATCGACTCATTTGAGCTGTGGTGCTGGAGAAGGCTCCTGCGCATTCCTTGGACAGCAAAGGTGACAAGCAAATATTGGAGCTCATAAACCAGACATGCCAGTGGAAGGAAAAATCACAATACTGCGACTGACTTATTTTGGCCATGTCATGCGGAAGAACTCACTAGAAAAAGCAATTATGCTTGGATTGGTTAGCAGCAAAAGGAAACTGGGCCGCCAAAGAACACAGTGGTTAGATACCATAAAGGTCGACACCAGCCTGAGCATGGAACAACTCAAAGAAACAGTACAAGATCGGAAAATGTGGAGAGAGCTGGCCCATAGCATCGCCAAGAGTCAGACATGACTGAATGACTAACAACTACAACAACAACTGTACTTTATCTCTGCCCTGAAGTTTGAATCAGATCTGAGAAGAGCAGAATACTATGAACATGTACTGCAGATGGATTGGCACAACATGCTTATTGCAGTTGCGGTAGAATAAATTTGGACTGGTTCCTGCAGATCTGCTCCACTAGCAGTAGTGCTTTCCTTTGCCGCCAGCAGTGTTGCTTTTTTTGACACATGGAGCCTTCCCTCTTATAAGAGACTCTTCTAATCCTGTATTTATATTGATGGAGAAAATGGTACTCCCTAGCTGTGAAAAACTGTTTAGACCATACTAACTATCCAGACTTCCATAATGTGTGCCTCTTCTTGCAAATATTAGTCATTACATTAATTTTAGTCATTACATGTTTATCCCCCCATGCCCCTCCTTCAATGAGCTCAGAGCACTCTTATTCTAAATATCTAAAGGACGGGGCCCTAGATACTTATTTATTTAGGGCAGTTTTCATGTGTGCACACATATGCACATGTGGGCACATCCATCTCCTTTTTCTAGGTAAAAATTAAAGGCCAGTTTAGTAACTATCCTGAGGCATAAATGTTTGTAAGCTGATGTCATTGTACAACTTGCCCACCCTCCCAAACCCTCCACTGTGTTTGCAAGATAGCTTTTAGAAGTGTAGTATTTCCATGTCTTTAGTCATAGGATGGAACAATTAAAACTTTACTTTTTAAAAAAATGTAAAGCCATATCACCCTATGGAACTAACCAGGATGATAGACTTCCTCCCCCCTTTCACCTTCTCCTTAAATGAATGTGTATAACTGAAACCTCTACACAGCTCCACACATTCCTAACATTGATGATATATGGTCCTTGCAGACTTGATAGGGGAAGGATGGCTTATCCCTCAGCCTAATCCCCCTCTGATAATCAGGGCGGCCAAATGGTTCTTGCCTTGAAGGTCTGAATTTATCCATCTAGTCTTCTGTCTGCCTGTCCAGTCTGATAGAATGTGCACTGAGAGAGCTAATTGCTGAGAGAATTTGTTGTTTGCCTGCATGACTGATCAAGAGCACAGCAAGTTCATTTCAGACAGTCTCAGACAGATTTTCCTTCAGCTTCTCTGCCTTTAGGGGAAGAAGATTATGTACTATCATTATCTAAAAGTTGGGTGTTCTTTCAGTTGTTTCAGAACTCCTGTGTCTTTCAGGAGTTTAAGTTATTTTTAGTGTCATTGTGTAGTGCTGGCTAGTACCAAAAGATGTTAAGAATGTTAATGTCTTACATTATCAATAATTGTACCATTCCTCTTCTTCTTGTGTTTCCTTTTGATTTCATTGTTTGTATTTAAAGTCCCACATCCAGCCAAAATGGTGGTGGGGAGGATAGTGAGCTATCTATGTTAGACAGACACAAACAGTTTATTTTAACAACCAAACTATGCTCTAAAAATAATCCAGTTCTAGCACATATTAGGTATTTGGCTTTATCTTTAAACTGATCATAGTGAATTGGTCTTGCTTGGTGTGAGTTTTTGTTTTTTGTTGTTGTTTTGGTACATTTCTACTTAGTTTAATCTCTGATACCCAGGAAGAATGTTCATGAAAAGAATTAAATCTAACAACAAAATTTGACTTGTTTTTGTGTGTGTAATACAAGTCCTTAAAGATAATCTTAGGCAAAGTTAAAGATTGAAGGGTAGCACAGAGTAAAAAGAGTGATGCAGACAGGATAACACCCTTGTTCATGCCTTAATAGTAGATCATTAGCAAAATGGAGGTAGAGGAAATAGGTCTTCAGAACCTCACCACCACCATATAATGTGCATAGATGGAGGTGAAATACAGTTTTTCTGTAATTAGTTTGAAACTGTTCAGAAAGGAATTACAATTTTTCTTGTTTTTCTTCACTGCAGTCTTGCTTAGCGTAAGTTGGCCTTATTTTAGTGAGAATGGCAAAAGTTAGTACTTCAGTGTATCTCAAGTCTCCCACATTAAGTATATGGACTAAATATCAGAGCAACTCTTAAGGTAGATACTGAGAGATCGACATGATTATTTTACCTGTGAGAAAAAGATACAACATTGGTTTTGCATCTTGAGCCATAACTAAAATAATATCATCATTAATATTTGCTCTTTTATTTCTTGTCTGAAGGTAAATGGCTTACCAAATGTTTGAGGGAACAAAAAATCTGTTTTTTTGCAACTTCCACTTATTTATACTTTCTACATGGCGTAAGAGGAACAAGCAGACTTTAGCCCCTGATATGAAGAGTTCACAATCGCATGAGACATTAATTTAGTCTCTGTTGGTACTACATTATCCTTCCCTTATTTGTGAAATCCAGCTCAACACCAAACTAGTCACTGCAGAGACCATGAGGAGTCATGTCAGAGGTCAGATATTTGAGACAATTTTCCCACAGTGACCCTGTGCGAATGATCTTTTACTGTGTTAAAAAAATAGTCAAAGAGGATTAAATGGGATTAGTAAGAATATTACCCTCCCAGAAGTAGCCCCAAGACATTAAGAGAAGAACCTAGCCAGGCAGTAAATGTGCTTTATTTGACCAGGGCACAGCCCTGGCCACATTCCTTCAAGAATCTGAATGGAAGAAGTTAAGTCCCTTGAACTGGATTAGTAAATAATCTCATGGTCTGTGGCATCTGATGAAATAATTTGGTGAGTTGTTTGCATTTGTACAGTTTGGGGGAGAGCTGATGGAATTGCTGATTATCATAATCAAAGATGGGACTATATTTGGCCATTACTGAGTGGGCTGGGCTAAGCAAATTTTTAAAAGCCCAACATTTTTGTTTGTTAATGTTCTTTAAAAGAAATCAAATTCTGTGCATTTGTGAGAACGGCTTAGATTCTGTTTTGTGAGTGGCATTATCCATTAAATACGATAAGATTAGGAGAAAAATGTAATGTAACAGTCATGATATAGAGCCTGCCTTCCACCTGTGGAGCGAGTGGTTCATTCAGATACTAGTCATTGGAGACAGACCAGAGGTCCTAACTATAACAATTTCCAGTCTTCCTTACTAAAGAACCTTATTAGAACCTTCCTGCAAGGGTGATACTCCAACTAAGATGGAAATACCATTAGCTTCTCCTGAAACATGGACCTCAACAGCTACTGATGGCAGTTGCATATTATTTTTAATGCTTATGTGACCTAGTGTTGTGTCCTGTTCCATCAGTCTTCGACTGATGTGTTGTGATACACAATTTTGTTGTAATTTGATTTACCGAGGATGACTGGGCAGTTCTGCCACTACTTCCTTCATGCTGAAGGTGTGGGAAGGACAGTCATATATGATCAACAATTAAAAACAGTCCTCAGGTTGAAACTGTGAGTCCCACCCTGGGGGGGGGGGGAATTAAAAACTTCTACATCTTGGGAGTCATTCTCATACAGATCTAATTCTTTGTGCGTATTTGTTTTTGCCATCCTTATCCTGTGTATAAATCCAGTGATCTATGAAGGGAATGCAGTGTTCTTCCATAGGCCCACATTTGCACAGTAAACTTCATTCTTTTTTTTAAGTGTTATTTGAATTGGAGTTTAAAAATACATCAGTAACATGTTGCAAGTCCAAATATGCTGTAGACAACAAGAAAAAGGGATATCTGGTTTACAGCTGGAATGGTGGGCCAGGGTTAGGTATGCCTATAAGATTTCTGACTAGTCTTGCTGGGTGGAAAGCTACTTGACCCTGCATGCCACTGTAATTTTCCTTGTGACTTGTGTTAGCTGACTTTCATTACTGAATGTTTTTTAGGGTTTTGTTTAAAACATTCTCCCAAGAACCGGAGTTCAGCGTTAACTCTTAACGGGGGTGGGGGGGGGTGTCAAAGGCTTGTTCTACCATGTGGACTAAAAGGTTTCTCTGATTTCCCCCCTTAAAATACCTAGCTTCCACTTTGCCTCAATCAGCTATTAATCCTTAGGACCACTTTGTGTATGACAATCTGATATATGAATGTGTTAATCTTTTATAACACAAGTCCTATATACTTTCCATTTGTTTGGGAGTTAGAACTATGCATGCTGGTCTGTGAGGATTTTGTCAGACTATTAATTTGCATTTAAATAATAGTCAGACATTGTGTTCCAAGCACAGGCAAGATCTCCTCACTTAAGTGATATGCACAGAGAGCTGAGCCAAACCTAATGTTGTAATATTTGTGGGATTGTGTATCAAAGAACTAGCCACAATGCCCTGTGTAATGTCATCTCACTTCATGCTTTTTTCTTTTAGTACTTGTTAGAAATGAAAAGCTTAATTTTACCTCCGGAGCACATTCTGAAACGTGGTGACAGTGAAGCAGTGGCATATGCTTTCTTCCACCTCCAGCACTGGAAGCGCATAGAAGGGGCCCTTAATCTCTTGCACTGTACATGGGAGGGCAGTAAGTATCCTTTTGTCAGTGATGTGAGCCAATTTCTTTCATTTAAAATTGATACTTTAAATGGCAATCTGAAGTTTCTTCTGGCTGTTCAGATGGGTGCTGTGTAAAGCTCCCTTGATTTTTATATTATCATCATAAGTGTTGGTCTTAGACCTGTTGCTTTCTTCCAGACAAAAATAGCTATTTTCAGAGACTGAAATACATTTTCTTTTTATTTATTTATTAAAACATTTATGTCCTGCCTTTCCTTGTGGTTCAAGGCAAAGATAAGTCCCTCACACACAGCAGTGCCTGAACTTTTGCCACATGAACACTTGAATTGGTCTTCCTGGTCCCATTGTACACCATATTTCCCATTGTAACTGGGATCTATGTTGCTGTTGTTACTTTTTGTAACCTTTTTATTATTTGTTAACTGTATAAGGAAATATTAATAAAAATGGTTCTTTCCATAACTCCTTGTGGAGATTTGTGGATTTTCAAAGAATTGCTCTGCAGATTGGCTGGTGAATGTGGAATCAGATGCTGACTTTAACATACAGTTGCACATAAACGTAGTATCTCTCAGGCATCCTTTCCCCTCCCATCCTTTGTTTAAAGGAGGTTGTTGAAGCTTGTGGCAAAACCTCTAGCCCAGTCTAGCTGAATGCAATATTGGAGCCTATTTGAAGAGGTTCACTGCAGTTGTGATGCCAGCAAAGAAAAATGTTTTATCTCAGCTACTAATACATCTGCACAATGCAATTCAACAGAGCCTTTTTGAAGTGGAATCAGGCTTTTGGTGCCCGGTTGGCTGGACAAAAGGTGAAGTGTAGCAGCCCACTGGTAACACTTTCATAAGATACTTGTAGATTTATTTACCTCATTTGTACCCCACCTTTCTTGCTGAGGTTGAAGGCAGATTACAAAACACAGTCAGCATAATCTCATAAACAGTGCAACAGGACAAGGATTATAGAGCTAGAAAGCAATGCAAAAAAGGTCTGAATTGCCACAGTGCAGAAAGTGGGTTACAGAGGTATGCAATAAAAGCAAGGTGGTACATACAAAGAACACTGCAGTGATTCTCACCCAATCTTAGTTGGATGAGAACAATATTAGAGGCATCCTCTCTTTTTATTAGATCATTTTTAGCTTGTTTTGTGTTTGGATGCCAGGAGGGAGTTCAGGAAACATGGGCAACCACTGTACGTTGGAGCCTTGTCTAACATGGTAGGTGAAAGTTTGTAAGAGTATAAGTGGGTTGGGGGGAATTATCAGTGTTTCTGTGAGAGGGAAGGATGGTGCCTCTTTTGAAGAGGTTTAACCACTTACATCTGTCATCCATCCTGGATTTGCAACTGAAACTGCCTTGGTAACCATGCTTACCATTCGTTGTCTGGATAGGAACAGAAGTAATTCCACCCTCCTTCTCCTTTGGGATCGCTCAGCAGACTACTGCGTTTAGTAATAACATCTTCTAGATGCTATGCAGAATGCAGAAATGACTCCAACCCTAGTAGACGGTAAAAATGTTAATTTTGCATGAGTCAAGTAACAATGATTTTCGTCTTTTTTTCCTTCAGCGTTTAGAATGATCCCGTATCCATTAGAGAAAGGTCATCTATTTTATCCCTATCCCAGCTGTACAGAGACAGCAGACAGAGAGTTATTACCAAGTAAGTAACTGTTCTATTCAACTATAATCTGCTGGTTCATGGAGGGGTGCACTGGCCTATGGAAGAGCTCCTTCTGCATGGCCTATGAACTCCAGTACTTTCTTTGTGATGTTATGGGAGAGTGTTGTGCTGTGCTGAGTCCTGTAATGTGAAGATGACTGAGAAGGTGGATTTCTTTTTCTAGTGCTTCCAAGAGGAGTTAAAGAAGTAGGCTATAATTGCCTCCTCTTGTGTTTTCACTTAACTTCAAGATTGGTTAAATGTTGCCACTTGGTTTTATATCACCAAAGTTAAACCTCACCACTCCTAGTAACCTTTTAGATGTCATCAGGATCCTCATCCTCTCTCCCAGCCTTCTTCTGTGCAGCCTGGGGAAAGAAGCATGTCCTCATGAGTCCTGCTCAATGCCCCTTTTAAAGGCAGCCCCACACACTGTGCCAGCTTCTTCTTTGCCGCCCACTTCCTGTGGCTGGGGCCCCATCCTCAAGGAGGTAAGGGCTGCTTCACAGCATGCCTTTCTCCTGGTTCCTCCCCCTTACTTGTTTCTTTTGACCCAAATAGGCTAGGACTGCCCTGGAAGGGCTCACCATTGCCCTTTTCCTCACACTGCCAATCAGCTGGGTGTCAGAAAAGCCCTTAAAGGGGTATGCCCATATGGCACTGGTTAGGCCCAGCCTCCCCCAGTTGCTGCCCAAAGTGCTGGCCAGGATCTTAGGGTGACTGGCCTCCCCATCAGCCACTCAGAGCTGGCCAACAGCCTCCTTTTTCTTTGGCAGCTTCTAGCTGGGAGTGTGACAGCTATTAAAGTTGTGTTTATTTCAAACGTGTATTCCTAAATCTGAATGAGCATTTCTCTCTGGTGGGAAGAGACACTGAATTTACCAAATTCAGTTAGTCCTTTTTATTCTCATTACATAGGTACTATCGATGGTGTCTGCACTGTTTGTATCACTTAACCTGTGAAGCTAGTTCATCCTTTCAGAGACCAATCTGTAGAGCTTGATTGAAGATTTGCTCCCTTGATTGGTGTAGGCTTCTAAATGACCATGGCAAATGATAAAGAAGGTCAGATAGGGTAATTTTGATCAGCACAGAGTCACGCTAAAGTGTGCTGTGCTGGAGAACTTCAGAATTCTCTGTGTTGTGGGCATACTCTCCACTGCTCTAAATGGGACTGGAATAGTTCATTTACAAAATGTGTGTAAATTGAAACTTCAGTTAATTGATCATTAAAGTTCAGCAGCCAAAAAGAGTGCTCTCAGACCTATGTGGATTGGGACAGAAGAGGGAATGGTGCTCACAGACAGTTTCTAATGTCCCAGGAACCATAATATGCCCTTTACACCAACTGAGTCTCCTAATCATTTTAGGATTACTTCCAATGTAACATGGTTTCTGTTTGCGTGCACATTAATGTCATACAGATCGTCATGTAAGATGGTGGTACATGCCTCTGTTCCTCTTTGTGTATGTGCAGTTGTCACATAGCAGCATCTCACTGTGGTTCTTGTGTTTCTTCCTGTCTGGAAAGTGCTTCCATCTAGGAAGTAAGTAACATTTTGCAGCACAAAAATGTTTAATTCAGGATGCTCTATGTCCATTGGTACCTTGAGGAGAATCATTGCTTTTCATGGAAGCTATGACTAGTGGCTGAGAGTTCATTTTATGAGACCCTACAGCCGGGGTGTCAAACATACAGTCCTTGGGCCGGAACCCGCCCATCTAGGGCTCTTATCCAGCCCGTAAATAAGTGGTCATTACCTTTACTGCCAGATGACAGAGGCTGTGCATTATGAATTTTGAGTAAAAAATAATATAATTAATTGGATTTGCCTATGTCCTTTGTAAAGTTTATATTTCCCGTCCCTGGCATTACATTTTATGGCACACATGACCCGGCCGGCAAAGTGACATTTATGTCCGATCTGGCCCTCGTAACAAATGAGTTTGACACCTCTGCCCTACAGGTTCCACACAAGACTTTTGTCTCTGTGCACTGCCCTATAAAGCTCTTTTGTAGATTTTCTTTTTGAGAACATTGAGATTTTTCAAGTAGCTGACTTGCCCCCTCTTTTTTTTTTTTTTTTTGTCATTTGAGCACATAGCCTAGAAACATATCTGCTTAATTTGAGGAAGAAGTGATGTCAGAAATGTCTGGCTAAAAATATTGTAAGTAAAATCCTACATATGGGCTGCCTCCTTTATTGAGCCGTCTAATAGCAGGTCTCCAGGTTTCTCATTCTGCTTCAGGGTTCTTCATTGGCATCTCTGATTAGATCAGAATAGAGGTTCTCTTCTAGTAAATCATTATCTTGAGTCTATGAGTGACCCTTTGTAAAGCTACCTGAAAATATACTTCTTGCTTGCTGAATGTGAGGGTTATAATGAGGGGTTTGTTTCATGCTAGGTGCTGGTGAGATTCTGTTAAGTGTTAACTTCTGCATCTTGGGGAGCCCTTCATTTGCAAAGTGTGGAGTGCTTATTACCAAAGCACATCTGCCACAAGGGCACTTGCATATATGTGGTTCAATAAAAGTGTTTCTTACAAAAAACCTTGAAAAGCTCTCTTTAAAAACTAATTAAAATCTGCCCCCAGACTGCTTTAAATTACTCATTTCTCACTCATGCAGGATATTGCTCAAGGAATGCCTCAGCTAGTGACTAACCCTAAGCCGTGGGTTTCCCGGTAAAATTAAACTGCAGTGTGTGCAGACATTTCAGCACAATCACTCACGCATTCCTGTTAAATTTTAAATACAAAGCTATCCATAAATAAAATCATCTTAACACTTTTACACTACAACTCTCCAGTGGCTCTGAAATTTTAAAAATGCAACGACTTGGATTTTTTTAAATGAAAGAACTTTTTTTTAAACTTCATTCAGGCTTGCACTAATATACATCTAACCACAAATAATGTGCCATGTATTCAGCATTCTTATAGATCCTTTTTCCATCTTATCATTTATATTCAAGTTTGTAGGTTTTGTGGAAATCTTTCTGTTCAGGCTGTTTTCAACTTAAATTTTTCTTATCTTTCAGGGAGCCTTGGATTTATAAAATATGATGGCTGTAATTAGAAGTTTCTGTATGAATTAGCTAGAGCCAATTGTGTGAAGGAAATGCGGGCATAGTCAATGTAGTTTCTGCTTATAGTTTGATTGTGGAGAAGGGAGATGAGGCAATTCATTCAGTCTGCTGTTATTAGTACTGGCCCAGCAGAGAAAAATTAAGTGATGCACCTTATAAAAATAAAATTAATGGAATTTGGGAAGTTTAAGTGCTTCACAGGGATCTATCAAATTTTAATCAAGGTGCAGGATAAATTTGGCCTGCAGTTTCCATATAGAAAAAAAAATTAATTTAGTTTTAATTCAGTTTAGTTAAAATTAGTTTGGGAAGAATGACTTGCAAAGATCTGAATTGGCCCTTATATAAGTTCTATGGAGTTTTTACAAGGAAACACTGGCAGTCAAAAGTGCACCCCCCCCCCCAACAATCACATCATATTGCTTGAATGGTAAATGCCTTGCCAACCCCAGACCACTCTCTGACAGAACCTACATTTCAGTAAAACTGATCATATTTTAGTGTTTTTTGGGAAGTGTATTTAGCATTGTGCTGTATTGCAACATTTGTCAACAATGCCGTTTGTTCCATCTTTTAAAAATCCAAATGTATAAATAAAATTGTGACTGTTTTTTAACAATCTGCAGTGTGTTTTCTCTGCTAAATCATGACATTTATAAAATCATTCCCAAATACCTGAACTATTAAGTAATTATCATCTTTTTTGTTCCAGCATTTCATGATGTGTCCGTCTATCCTCAGAAGGAGCTTCCTTTTTTCATCCATTTTACAGCAGGGCTGTGCTCTTTCACGGCAATGTTAGCTCTCCTCACTCATCAGTTCCCTGAACTCATGGTCATTTTTGCAAAAGCTGTAAGTATTATCTCCACTTCAGAGCTTACTTAAGGGTTCTTGGTGCAGTAACAGCCTAGTCTTAACAGCTGAGGGGGGAAGGGTAGCTGTCTGTCAGTCTAAAATGACTTCTTTGCCAGGTACTTAGTGAAGCAGAGTGCTGTTTAACAATCCTCGTTCCTTAGCTGTTGGGGTGCTCTTGTATTTGGTGTTGAAGGCTCTCAGGCTATTAGTTTTTTTGGGGGGGGTTTCAGTAGTCAGAGCCAGTTTGGTGTAGTGGTTAAGTGTGCGGACTCTAATCTGGGAGAACCGGGTTTGATTCCCCACTCCTCCACTTGCACCTGCTGATGTGACCTTGGGTCAGTCACAAGCTCTGGCACAGCTGTTCTTGAAAAAGAGCAGTTTGTGTCAAGAGTTCTCTTAGACCCACCTACCTCACAGGGTGTCTGTTGTGGGGAGGGGAAGGGAAAGGAGTTTGTAAGCCGCTCTGAGACTCCAAGTGAAGGGCGGGGTATAAATCCAATCTCCTCTTCTTCTTCTTCTCTCCAAATGGGTAGCTCAGGGTTTTGTGGCATCCATGACAGCCATGGGGTTGTCCTAGAACATCATAGTCCCAAGTAGGACATGCACTCAGTTTGGTTTTCTTCTCTGACTCAGTTCAGTATGGTTAGGGTGTGGAGGATATCGCAGTGATTCTTTATCATGGAGAAAGGTCTGGGCTTCTGGACCTCTGCAGAGTTAGGGGACCAAGTAAGATTGTTGCCTCAGGAGGCTGATGAAACCAGATGGTTTCCTGACAGCCCTTTAGGAGTTTCCAGTTATCATAGTTGGTGCTCTTGTGCCTTCCTCATTTGACTTATGGAATGAGGCAATTGACACTATGACCCTTGCCCATTTTGTCTTTTAGTGGCTATCCAAAGAGTATAGCATGGGTGGGTAAAGTGGTAAATTTCCTAAAACGGTGTTTGGAGGAAGTAATGGACTGGATGAGGGCTAATAAACTGAAGCTCAGTCCAGATAAGGCTGAGGTGATGTTGGTTGATTAACATTCCAGTCTTGGTTTGTGGAATCTTCCAGTTCTAGATAGGATTGCACTTCTGTTAAGGAACAGGTACACAAGTTAGAAATGCCTTTTGATCTGGGGCTACAGATGGAGGTTCAGATATCTTCTGTGGCTTGTAAATCACTTTATCAACTTTGGTCTGCCAACTGCAGCCCTGCCTTAAGGAACAGTATTTGGCCACAGTTCTGCATGGTATGATTCCAGATTGAACTATTCCAATACATTTTGTGAGGCTGCTGCTGAAGGCAGGTTGGAAGCTTCAGATTACTTCTTCGTGGTCTCATAGGCTTTGTGCCTGTGTAGAGCTCTATTTCGAAACTTCTACAGCTACAAAGTAAATGTGAGAATCCCCTTTCTTTCCCCGGGAACATAGGTTCAGACCATGCACACTTATTTCCCGCTCAATTCCTTTTTGTCCATAGCAGCAAATATAGCGATTAGGTTGTTAGCAGGGGTAATGCATGGGGAACACATCTTGTCAGTCTTCAGTTTTTTTACACTGGCACCTGGTTTGCTTCAGAGCTCAGTTCAAAGTGCTGGAATTGCCTTGTGACCTCTGTTCAACCTGGGACTACAGTACCTTCATTCATATATACTTGACAGTCAATGGAGGTTATCTATGGAGGTCCTGCTCTATGTGTTCCCCACATGTTTAAGCTAGGTGAGTGTACAGCAAAGACAGGGCCTTCTCAGTAGAGGCTCATCTGGTGCCAAGTTTACAGTCTCTTATATGTCAGACAACATTTTTTTTCATCCCATGCATTTTAGACGCCTTATAGTCAGTTTTTAAGCTACTGTATCCATGGCCTATATTTTTCTGATGATTGAGATAATTTTAATGTTATAAGATATTTACAACTTAATATGGTGTGGGTCTTTTGCTGGCAGTTTTAGTTGTTAAGTCTTTGCATCTAATAGATACTGTCATTGTAGCTTTAGGGATGTTAATGATTTTTTGTTGTTGTTCATTGTTCATCAAAACATTTATATCCCACCTCTCTACAATTGTATTAAGTTTTTTCATTCAGCATCACTCAGAGTTCATTTTAGTTCTGAGAAAGGGATTGTTTAAAGGTGATTCCTAAAGATCAGCTCCCAGTTACCACTGTGTCTAAGTAGGAGGTTAATATATCGCCATTTATAGGCTATATAAAAGGGAGAGAGGGGACCATGTTAGGCCACTTAAATCATAGCCAGTGATTTGTTAGTAGTGTTTAATAGTATGAGAATACTTAGACTATAAGCTCTCTGGGGTAGGAAGTTGGAATTTTCCCTTTCCTGTTAACCATTATCTGACAGAGGAACTTTGACTTTCGAAAGCGTATAACTCAAAAACCTTGTTGGTCTCTAAGGTGCTACTGGACTCAAATCCAGCTCACCTAGCAAAGTTACACCCTTCTGAGTCTGTCGGCGTCACTGGAATCAATGGGATCATGTTGCTGACAAGGTGTTGTGTATGAATTAAGTGGGAGCTTAGGGAACAGTAGTGTATGGCCCCACATGGTTTAGGAGCTGTCACATTAACACATGAAGCTGACTTATACTGAATCAGGCCTTTGGTCCATCAGGTCAGTATTATCAGCTTTTCTTTCTCAAGTTTACCATCTTTCCTCACCTATTCTGTCTTACAGTTTTCTGGAAAAAATGCAGTATTTGATTGAAATGTACTCTGAGCTGCATCTGTACTTTCAGTGTTTTATTGTGTTTCAAAGTAAATTAATTTGTTTCATATGATTAAAGGGGGGGGGCTTTGGCTATGTAGTTAGAAGGCTTGAAGGCTGCTGATTTGAAGAAAAATGAGGATGTTTTCACTTCAAGTTCTGTGGTCTCGCCACAATTCAGTGGGATGTTCTGAATTTTACCAAAGGTAGATCAATTTATAAGAATTAGGTTATGCAAATTCTGACTTGTAATTACTTAACTTTTCCTACCTCTAGTCTCTATCTCTGTAATTTTTAAAAATGTTCTCATATTGGTAATGGAGGGTAGTATGCATTGTGTTGATTTTATTACAAGTCAGAATAATAAAACTGACACTGGCTGGAAATGTAGAAAAATGAACTTGCACAGCTTTCTTCTGTAAAATAATGTGCTTTCTGCTGGTGGCAAACTCCATAAGTGACAGAATGTACAAGACTCTTGTGCTGAATCAGTGTATAATGCTAATCTCCTATACCAAGGAGATTAGCTGAATCAGTGTATAATGTTAATCTCCTAAACCAAGATAATTCTTATTTATTGCTGTTGATTTCAGTGGGCTTAAATGGGTGTAACTGTGCTTAGAATTGCACTGTTATAGCCTTGTTTTATTTTATCTGTGCAGTTTCCATTTTTCTAGTGTAGCAGATGTGGCAAAGTAAAGTTCTAAAACTTCATGAAAGGGACTTTAAGGGGTGTTTTTCCCTTAAAAATTTAGCATAGAAGCCTGGGAAAAAGAAGAAGAAGAGATTGGATTTATACCCCGCACTTCACTACCCAAAGGTGTCTCAGAGCGGCTTACAAACTCCTTTCCCTTCTCCTCCCCACAACAGACACCCTGTGAGGTAGGCGAGGCTCAGAGAGCTCTTGACAGAAACTGCTCTTTTTCAAGAACAGCTCTTATCAGAGCTATGGCTTGCCCAAGGCCATCCAGCCAGGTGCAAGTGGAGGAGTGGGAAATCAAACCCGGTTCTTCCAGATTAGAGTCCGCACACTTAACCAGTACACCAAAAGAGGTGGCTCATTCTCTTATGAAAGTACAGCTGCTAACACTACCGAACAACATACATTCTCACTGTGTAAAGAAAATCACTTTATTTAGAAGATGTATTACTCGCTTTTCAGTACAAAGAATGGCAAGGTGGGGTAAAATCATAAAAGTGAAAAAAGCTCACTGTAGCCAATAAAATCTCCAGTTGCAGGCTGCAGCATATTGACTAAAATGCCTGTCTGTAAAGGCATCCTGTTCTGAATCTGGTGCATGAGGCATAACCCATCAAACAAACTGGTGAATTTTCTACTAAGAACAAGTACAATTTTCCATTGTGTAACCTGCAGAATAAATGGAAAGATGAGACTCTTAGAAGTAAAAGGGGAGAGTGTTATGGAGGCACAGAGTAACTACAGTTTTTTTTTCCTTTTGTGAAAGGCTGCCTGCCCTCTGTCATGCTTTAAAGGCCCATTCAAATGTACACATCAATGGGAGTTATCTTGCGAGCATCTACTGAATTGTCTGTCTCGCCTGTTCTGCTATATGTTGTGTTTTTTGCAGGCTTTCCTCCCTCATTTATTCACTAGGATAGTAAGGCTGGTATAGTAAAGGTAAAGGTTCCCTTGCTCGAAAGCCAGTCGAATCCGACTCTAGGGCTCATCTCCGTTTCAAAGCATAAGAGCCAGCGCTGTCCGAAGATGTTTCTGTGGTCATGTGGCTGGCATGACTAAACACCAAGGCGCACGGAACACTGTTACCTTCCCACCGAAGTGGTACCTATTTATCTACTTGCAATTTCTTGCTTTCGAACTGCTAGGTTGGCAGGAGCTGGAACTAGAGATGGGAGCTCACTCCATCATGCGGCACCCGGGTCTCGAACTGCTGAACTACTGACCTTCCACAGCCTGCAGTTCAGCGTCTTAACCACTTGAGCCACCGCAGGCTGGTATAGACTGATGCTAAAGGGGACCGTAAATACTGGTTACTGAAAGTTAGGGATGAAAACAACTCATTCCCTTATCATCTGTTAGGAGTAGATACAGCTCTGTATGAACTGTTGGTCTGATCTTAAGTATACCTATACACAGTTAAAATGACCTCCCTACCAACTTCCACACTACCTTCTAAAGTGGTTCAAACATTTTGGGGTGGAACCCATGTCTAAACTTACAGCAGTTTTTGGGACCTGCCTGTGAAGTAACTTTTATACTATTTCCCCCTCCCCAGCATAAAATGCAGGAATCTCACATCAGTTAATAATAGAAATGT